TACAGACACAGACACTATACTGGGAACTTTGTATACCTTCTCTTACTTAATCCTCGGGTATTATTTTAATGTTTCAGTAGGATAATGAGGCTCAGCAAGGGAAAGTAACTGTTTCAAGATGACACAGTCTGGCTGAGTTAGAGCCAGATCCATCTGACACCAAACCCTGTTATTTCCATGACACCCATCACCATCACCCTCCTGGTTTTATTAATGCTCAGAGAAAATACATGATAATAATGATTTATTAAAGTGAAATGAAAATAATAACATAATTTATTAAAGTTTTAATAAGTGCTACCAGAGCTTTCCATTTCTAGTAAGTGCTACCTGACAGCTATCTGTTTTAGATTTAGATATTTCCCGTGTAGTGATTGTCACAAGATCTTACCCACTTATCTTTGGTTCAGTTTCTATTTTCTCCATGATATTCGCCCCTACCTGGCAATCCCACATCAGGCTCTCCTTTCTTTGAGCTTCTCTGATGCTTGACCATGTATATGCATGGTCTCATTGAGTCTAAGTGCTTCATATAAGGGACATAAATTCTGGTAAGCGGTAAATAGTAACAACAATTCTCCCTTATATTTTCCCTCTATCTCTTTATAAAATCCCACTCTAGTGACAGAGTTAATCTTTAGTGACTTACTGCCAACCCGTTTTCAGGGATGTGATAAGTGTCTTGCAATTTAGTCAGAACTCCCTTTAATGTGCATTAGTATCACCTAGGGAATACTGTTAAAATACAAATTTTGATTCAGCAGGTCTGGAGTGGGGCCTGGGATTCTATTTCTCCAGCAAACTCTCAGGTGATGCTGATGTTGTTAATCCAGGAACCAAGCTTTGAGTCGTGGGTCTAGAACACAGAGTTACACATCAAAGGCAGCTGACAGCTACCCAGCACATTCATCACAATGGACGTGATGAAGATATAGTTACAATGCCCTCAAAACTAGGGAGCTGACACATTGGCAGATCACACAAAGGGGAAGAGGAGAAAAGGATTTATTTTATGTTATATGAGTAAGAGTAAGTTGGTGGAGATGGGGCTGGCATTAAATATTGTATGGGAAAGATTTGTTTTCCTTTAAAGCAAAGTTCTTCTGGTCTCCCGACGGTTTAACATCTTACTTGAGGGAAGGGTGAATGCACGAATATGGGGGCAATGGCCTCTGAAAGGTTCTGGAAAGGGAGAAAGAGAAGTCTGTTCTTAGACTCAGCTCTGACTTAGGAATCTCCAAAGATGACCAGGCAGAAATTCCAGATCTTGGTTTGGGAGCTATATTGGAAGATGCCTCTGATGACCTATGATGGCTAGAGTTTCTTGCTCTCTTTTGCCAACTTCTGGCTGCAATGAAGGGCAGGAGAAATCCTAAAAGAAAGGAGGATAGCTGATGATGTGAACATTGCACATGTGTGCACACACATATGTGTGCACATGCATGCACACACCCACAACTGTAGTGTGCTTTTGGTGGCTGGGATACTGATGTGTGGCATTTAGCAGGAGTTTCTCACTCAGCTATCTCCCCTAACCATGTGTTGGAGCCTAGAGAATGTTGGAGATTTCACTCGGGAGCAAGTGTGCTGGTCCTTCAGCCTCATGAGGTGGGAGTGCTCTGGGCACGTTGTTGACTGGCTCTTAGGGATTCTTGAGGAAAAATGGGAAGATGGACACTTCTTTTCCCACCATCTGCCCTGAGTGTCAAGAAAGTCTGCTGAGGTGAGTCTGTGATTGTTAGAATCCAACTGAATATTTTAATAGAGATCGAAGTTTACCTGAAGTACCAGACAGAATCAATCTTACTTTCATTTTCAAAAATCAGTACTGTATTTCCTATAACTCAATCTCCTTGTCTCTGTCCCAAATCCTTGTTGCTGATAAGAAATAATCATTACTGCCTTTGTCAGACATTTAACTATCTATGATCCATACCATCTGCTGCAGAGTTTTCAGTTTTATTTTAGGATTTTAATGAAGTTTTTTATTTGCTCATTTTATATATCTTAGACTAACCATTACTTCAAAGACTCAGCTCAGATTTCCTCAAACCATCTGGAAGAGGACTGGATCAATCTCACGTACATCTTTGATTTTGGAACAGAGTCAGACTTTTTTTTTTGAAGATTTATTCAATTTTCCCTCATTGATCATGTTCCAGAATGTCCTAGCCCATTGCTTAAATCTTATTCATAATGTGATATTCCTAGCTACTAAAAACTGGTAATTTTTATTGATCTTGCCATTTTTGTGTGGTCATCTTTGAAAAACATTGGGATGATGCAGTTAGGGAGAAATAGATTAACTCTGATAGACATAAATATTAAGCATAAGAGATTACTACTCTCTTCTCTAACCTCCCATTAACCTTTAGGAATTTCTGATTTTGAATTTGGCTAAGTTTATTGCATCTCTACTCTCTCCTAGAAAAGACTAAATTCCCCAAAGGATCAGCAGGATCTGGTATTTTCACTGGTGTCTCTTGTACTTGACATATAAATACTCAATAAATCTAGGTAATCAGTGAATGACTTTATCTCACTGACCTGTACTAAGGTCCAGCAATAGGAGCCCTTTTGAATTCTGCAAAGGACTGGGTAGGAGATGCAGGCAAATCTTTTCCTTTTTGAAGGAAGGTCACTTTCCCTAAAGTTAGTATCTTTCATCCTTTCTAGTTTGTTCCTTTTGTTCCTCCCTATATATACGCAAGCATAGATAATCGATTTCTGTATGGAAAGATTCTATATAGAAACCCAACTTTGATTTATAATTTCTGTTTCTGGTGAAACATCTCACCCCTGGAGGTGGCGGGAACTACAGAGACGGATGGAACCACACATGGTGTTAGGCAGAAGTGGGTTTGAGTGCTGGCCTTACCTCTTTCCAGTGATGGAACCTTGAGCATGTCACTAATGCTCAAGTTAATAAAATGAGGGTGTTAATGAAGAAGAGGAGATAACATGTATCTTAATAAGGCCTCCAATGCCTTGTCTGACCCAGTCCTAATCCACCCTAGAATTCTCCCCTTGCTCTCTGAATTTCACCCACACTGCTGCCTTTTAGCTCTTCAAAAGCTTCAAGCTCCTGTACGCCCATCACAGGACCTTTGCCTATGTAGTTCCCACTGCCTTCCCCATTCTTGTCTAGTTGACTCACAATCATATTAGAGCTCAGCCAGAGCACCACTTCCTCAAGGAAGCATTCCCTGATCTTCTCCAGTTAAGTGAGAATTCCTCAGAAGGTGCATTTTGAACTCTATAAGACTTCCCACAATTGCCATTAAATAATAATTGTGTAATGAGTTGTTCAATTCCCCCTACTGTTTCCACCATACAAATATAAGCTCCATGTGGACAGAAATTTTCTTTATCTTTGTATCTGCAGTGTTCAGCAAAGTGCTTGGCACATGGGAGTAGCTTAGTGAATGATGTTATATGAATGAATACACAAATGAAAGGTAATGAATAAAATTCAAACGCAAACTAGATGCACAAAAATGTTTATTATCAATCTGTCCTCCCAGTTGCCTTCTTTTCTAAAGTTTTGCCTGGGATAGTAAGGAAAATTAAAATAAATCATGATTTGAATGGATGCATCCTGGCCCCCTTCAGTTGTCTGAAAATAACTCCCTCAGCCATTCGTCAAAGTCCATGACCCTCAACCTTCACCTTGCTCTAGAATCATCTGGGTAGCTTTTTAAAACTGCAGATAAAATTTCAATCATGGTCTGGTGGCACTGGCATTTTTAAATGCTAGAAAAGGTGATTCTAACACGTAGCCAGATCGAGAACCACTGCCTTAGGTTATTTTGAAAAGACATGTTAAAATTCAGGACTCTTACACAGCATTGTATGTCTGTTGGAATAGGTTAATACGTCTTAGCATCTGATCTGCATTTTTGCAGAGTGTTCAGATTGGTCCTGTGAGAAAGGGATGAAGGGGCATCATCACAAGGTGGTAAAGGCCCCACATGTGTGCAAGTCCAGGGTGGGCACAGTCAGGTGGAGTCCTGCGGAGACAAACCTCACCTTCTCTCCAGCATTGCCCAGGCCAGTCTTTGCCCAAACACAGCAGAGTTCTTGTTATTATTTCCATGGAGTAAATCACACTGGGCTAGTCTTGGATGTGCCCTTTCCTAGATGAAAAGTGCTGGAATGGGTTTCTAGTGTGGGAACAGCTTCAAGGACATTGCCCCTGGAAGGTATGATAGAGGGGATGGTTTGAATGTGCTATGGAAGGGGATTTCAAAAGCCAGTTGGAAAGGGCAAGCAAGCTTTGGCTTCAAAGAATGAATTTTTAGAGTCTTAGTTTTTATAAACAAGGAAAATAGGAAAAATATAGAATCATAATTTGGGGCATAAAAGCTCTCTGGTGCAGCAGGAATGCTAAATCTTACAACTCTGTTCAAGCAGGGGTTGGTAAACTCTGGCCTGTAGGCCAAGTCCTGCCCACCACTTGTTACTGCTCAACTTGTGAGCTGAGAATGGTTTTTACATTTTCAAATGACTGAAAAATAATCAAAAGAAAAATAATATTTCATGATCCATGAAAATGATATGAAATTCAGATTTCAGTGCTCATAAATAAAATGTTATTGAAACACAGTCATGCTTATTCATTTACGCATTGCTGGCCGATGGCTACTTTAGTTTTTCAGTGACAGAGCTGAGCAATTGCGACAGATGCTGTGTAGCCCACAAAGCCTAAATTATTTACTATCTAGTCCTTTATAGAAAAAAGTGTGCTGACTCCTGTGTTAAAGAATCAGAGGAGGAGCTGACTAGAAGGATTAACCATTGGTTGAAAAAGGCGAGTGAGAGATCAGAGAAAGGAGGATAATAGTATCATTGTAATGGTTACTTGCCAAGTGCCAGGTATTTTATGTGCAATACCACTTTTAATCCTCTCAATGATCCTTGAGGTAGAGTCAGGGTCCCAGCCAAGCACAGATGCCCACTTCAATTAGGATAACTGGAAGGGGGTTTAGTAACTGGAGTGTTTATAGAATAAAACCAGGGGTAGGGATCCATAAGAGATAGTGCAGTGGCCCAGGCTAGCGACAAAGGAGCGGTTACCACCCCCAGGCCTGAAGCGTTGAGGGAAGAGAGGAGGTTCCAGAATCCAGAAGGAAAGAGTTATGCAGATGGAGCTGCCTTGAGAGCAGCAGTGACCTTCAGTTGGAGGACACAGGCAGTCAGACAGGACCGCACAACGAGCCGAGGCCATCAGCAGCCTGCACTCACTCCTCTTCCCCTTCAGTCTCTTTCTGAGGCAGGAGTCTGTTGGATACAACCAGGGCAGGCTGTTGGACTCAAAGAGGAGGCTGCTGAGGAGTTTCATCCAGGTCAGTCTCCCCGGGGCAGAAAGGATAGTGAAGGGTGTAAGGGGATCTGGTGGGCAAACCAGCACAGGTGGGTACCACTGTCATCAGCATTCTCCTCCCAACCCCAGCTGGCCTACTGTTTTACAAATGGTCAAAGCTAGGTTTAGTAAGGTTAAACAGTGTCGCTCAGTACACGCTGAGCTGGGACACTCTGATTCCAAGACCCTTTGTTTTAACTATTATGTTACCCTGCACTGAGATGGAAGAGACCTTAAGGGGATCCAGGTTTCCTCCCTCTCCACTTAGGAATAGCTTTTGCAGCATATTTTCACATGATCCTTTGGCTAATACTTGAATATCTGCCTACATGGGTATCAGTGACTGTCTTGTGGTCGTTTTTGTCTCCACTGGGGGGATTACTCTTATGGCTGGGAAGCTTTCTCTTAGATTGGACAAACCCAGGGGGTAATGTTTACTAATTTAAAAAATCAAATGTATTTTTAATTGATACATAGAAATCTGAAGCTCTGTTTTCTTCTTCACTCATTTTCTCAGATTTTACTCTTCAGAACTAGTAGGGAGATTCCTCTGTTACTATTTTTCTGTCTTTGAGCCCCAGATGTCCTTTTTGTATTCAGTTTTTTTTCTTTTTCTTTTTTTTTTTTTTTTTGAGACAGATTTTCAGTTGTCACCCAGGACAGAGTGCAGTGGCACAATCATGGCTCACTGTAGCCTTGACCTCCCAAGCTCAAGTGATCCTCCCATCTCTGCCTCCCAAGTGGACTACAGGCACATACTACCACACCCAGCTAATTTTTATACTTTTTATAGAGATGGGGTTTTGCCACGTTGCCCAGGTTAGTCTTGAACTCCTGGCCTCAACTGATATGCCTGCCTTTGTCTCCCAAAGTGCTGGGATTACAGGCATGGAGCCACCACATCTGGCCCAGTTGTATGATTTTTTAATGGCTACTCCCTCCTCTAGCCAGATGGTCTCTTCCCATAGTCTTCATCTTTCAAAGTCACAGCATAAACATCAGAAGGAATAAAGGAACCACTGGGTTACAAATTTTTCTTCTACTCTTTTTAAAAGTTTGAGCTCTTAAAAGGCAGGGAAGCCTGCCCTGTCCCATGTAAATCAGCAGAGGCGGGTAGTAGCTGGGGAGAGTGGTCAGTGATACATCCTGTAGGCTGTGCATACATACCAGGAAGAAGGCTCACCTCGTGACTGGCCACATCAGGCCATATGTCTTCCTTTCTCATGCTGCAATGGAAAGGCATGCGGGACACGCTTTCCTGGCCGTGGTAACAGGATACCTCAAACCCACTGGTGCTTAGGAATCCTTTTTGTTCCATGGAACATAGGATGTGGTTTTCTTTTTCAGAATAAGTCTAGGACCGGATAAAACTTTGTGAACTCTGATGATGGTAGCAGTGATAACAATGACCTTTTATTGAGTGCTTAATCCTTGGTATACCAAGAATAGTTCTCACCACTTACCATTTGTGTCCAATGGATCTTTTTTTGTGTTTTTATATTTTTGAGTCATTTTATGAGTAATTTACAGAAGACCAGAGATATTATGAAAAACAACTTTATTACAAATTTTAATAAAAATTTAAACATAGCAAACTCCAGTTTTTCTTACCATATTTTCCCAGTGTAGAAGGTACTGATGCCTACAATTTTGGGGCAACTTCCTTTGAATGCCATTAACTGGTGATCAATTGTCATGCATAATTCTGGAACATGTCAGTCTTATAAATATAGCATTGATTCCAGACTTCAAGTCCATCTCTAAAAGTTTAGCTTATCGTTTCTTCCAATTGTATTTTCTTACAGTTATATCATCAAAATAAAATATTTTTAAAAACTGTGGCTCATAATTTGCTTAAAAGAGGACTCACATCTTCTTTATTCTATAATTGCAAAACATTTTCATGTTTCATCAATTAGAATGATTAATTCAACTGATTGTTTTGGTTTCCACATTATTTATTTTCTTCCATTCCCCTTTCAGCACACACCCACCTAGTCCACTTATGACCCATATCCAGAAAATTTTGGTGCGCAACCACATAAGAGGCAAAAGAATGTCGTTACTTTTTTTTTTTCCCCAAAACAGATGGTCTAAGTTCTGATCACAAAACACTGCATGATGAAGTTCTTCCTGTTGAGTTACTAACTCATTGAGAACTCCGTATTTCATTTTTGTCCTTAAAAATATAGTGTCCATTTATTGATTCTAGACTTTGGAAAAATTCATTTAGGATATTGTCATCTGAAAACTCACAGTCTAAACTTTTGCTTATATGAAATCTCTTTGCATTAATCTTATGATTTGTTTAATAAAATGAAACATCTTCCTCTGTAAATTTGCTTATCTTTGCCATTGTGGTTGGAAAATAAAAATTATGGATGCTCAGTTGTGTATAAAAGATGAAAAGAAACTACAAAGATGGTGTCTTTACTGTTCTCCTAAACCTTCTTGAATGATTCTACAATACTTGGGGCAGGACAGCAGGGAAACTGAAAGGTGATGTAATAGCCATAGTTTAGTTCATTATTGCATCAGCCTTTTATGAAATTATATCATTTTTCCATTTCACATTATTTCAGTGTTTTTAAGCATAGTTGGGAATAATTGGTGAGTAATGATCAAATAATGACTAGAATGATGAATAGCAAAATGTTTCAAGATATAGGAAAAAGAAAATCACTAAGATTCCATAACATAGCTTGGATTTACAAAAATTGCAACATTGACTTTTATTCTATTTTTTAAACGGGAAATTTTCTCTTGTTATTTGTAAGACTCCTAAGAAAAAGTAAAAGCAATGAAATATCAATCCCTACACATAAATTGCTCAAAAATAGAATCCAAAAGCTAAAATGGGATCCTGTGTTTCCTGATGTTATACTTACAGTTAACGTGTTAGATACTATATTAAGAAATTTAGAAATGTGACTAAATCCAGCTAATGGATTGAAAAAACTAACAAAGTTTCAGTTGGAGATGATGAAAACGTTCTGGAGATGGAGGGTAGTGATGGTTGCACAGCAATGTGAATGTACTCAATGCCACTGAACCATACCCTTAAAAATGGCCAAAATGGTAAATTTTGTTATGTCTATTTTACCACAACAAAAAAGGAGGCATGTTTATTGAATGCTTATTTTGTGTCAAATACCTGATGTCATCAGCGCTGTTATCATCACAGTGACGTGGGTTAAAACTGTCTGTCCTCAAGTAGATGGGGAAGGCTGACAGAGACTAAGTACATTATCCAGAATCACAACCGGTCATGGCAGAGCAGGAGGAGGATTCTAGCAGAAAGCCCCCAGATCCTCATACATAACCACTACTATGCTTGTGAGGTGGGCCAGGCTGGGGTGCACAGGCATCATTTCCCTGGGTGTGCCATACCCTCTTTCTTCTTTCCAAACTCTTAGGGTGATCTGGGATTCCTTAGCTACCTCCTCAGAATCTCTTCTGGTTTCTTTCAAGGCTCTTTGGGGGTTGGGGGGAAAGGTTTGCAGGTAAGACCACATGCACTCTCAGCCAAAGCAGCTGCTGATATCCTCAGAAGTGAAGACAAGCATGCCTGTGTCTCAAGGGCTGGAAGAAAACAGTCCCCCAGCACCCCTCCCAAACCAGCCATCATGTGTCTCCACTGGACTTGGTTCTATGTGGCCGCCTCCACCAGACTCTGCGTATAAATGGCCGGGACACCTTCCACCACGTCTATTAGCCACTCTTCTGCCAGGTGGTGGTAGTTCTCACTAATTTTACCAGCTTCATAGATGTCAGGTCCAATTGCATTTTATTATGTTTTTCAGGAAAGAAATATTGATTAGCTGGGTGTCAGTGAAATTATTTTCTACAAGTTGGGTGATGGAAAGAGAATTCTAAGTATGCCTACTATGTAAAACACCTTTACAAATGAAATATCCAAACATTTTAATAAAAATTACATTGGTGTGAATAAACAGAGTATGAGTAGGCAGCATAATAATGTCTATTTTTTTAAGTGCAAAAATACTATTATTCACAGTTCAAAGATAAATTTGTTTTAAGGCAAGAATGTAATTGGGGTAAAAAGCAGGGAATGTGTCTTAGAGCTGTAGTTCCTGTCTGGGCCAGCTGAGGGCAGTGGTTCTGGTGAGAGCAATTGTCGGCTTAGAGGCCTAGTTTACTAAGGATGTCTGGTGAATGGTCATTCTGAGTAATTAGGAGAAAGAGTATCTCTAGCATTAACAGGGCCCAGTTAGGGTGAAGGGTGATAGGAAGTGCCCAGACTGCCTACCTACTGGGTTTCTTAAAGAGGTCCTGGCAGTCCCTGAGGCACACGCTGGAAATGCAGATCCTAGTGCCCTAACCGTAGATTACTGAGTCAGAAATCTCTCAGGTGATTCTTTTTCACAGTCAAGCCTGAAAATCACTGCTGTGTTAGCTTCTCTTCAAGTGGAAGCATGGAGTTGAAGACAATAGAAGGAACTAAACCAAGATTAAATGCTGGGTTTTATGGGATTGTTATAGAGTCACGTAGGATCTGATGTAGGATACGGGAAGCAGAAATGCAAGAAGAGAGTCAAAATAGAGATCTCCTGGGAGACTGTTAATTTGCTAGCCTGGTAGGAAATACAATGCATGGGAGGTGAGGCAGACAGAGCCATCCAATTGCAGGGTCAGAACTTGGAAGGCCTGAGGCATGAAAGGCACAGGGTCGGGGTGCAGTCCTCACCACAGTGCAGGACCCAGAGGCTGGGGCTAAAGGAGCTACTGTGTCCCAGGTTTTGTCCTGGAACAGTAATAAGCCTTCCTGCTTCTGTCCTTGGCTCCAAAGCTAAACTGGAAAGCCCAGTTTCTCATCATGCCTTTCCAAGTGGTTGCAGGCACAGGAGGTCCTGTTATAAACCCAACTCCCAAGTTTCAGACATGGGAAACTGCAAAGTAAGATACATCTTTAGAGCTCAACAAATGGACTTGCCTCGAGGGGCTGGTGAAGGTGACACCCAT